GTAGGGAAATATATAATTGGGATTCACACACACCTTCTGATACCTTTTTTCAAGGTTCAATTTATTAGCTGCTAAAAATAAGAACTGTCTTTCCAACCACCTAAAGCATGTGCCATTTAGATAAAAGATCACCATCAGAGGAATCTATGCATAATTTTTAAAGAAAATTCAGAGCAATTAATAAGAGAAAATAAATACTGAAATATTAACCATTTAATCTTTATTATTTAATTTTTTTCTGCCACTTTAAGTAAATTTCTCTAACAAAAACTTACTTTCTCCTAGATCCTCTTCCAATAAAAATACTTCCTGTAAACCTTGAAACAAGGTATCCACTCACTCCAAGGCGACTGGCCAACACATATCCTGGGTTGTACTTTATAGAATATTTCTTTAAATATAAAAACAAAAAGGTCAATTATGGAAACACAAAGCATTAAAGCAGCATTTCTTTACCTTTAAAATCTGGAGATAAGACATCACTAACATTTTGGATTGTGGCAATGTAAGGATTCTCAAAAGTAAGTGACCTATTACCCCCAACCCTGCTTTTTGTTAAAGGATTTATAGGCAGAATATTTCTGCTCCTCTCTCTCCTTAAAGAACAGAATTCCCAAGGATGAATGAAAGGGGGATGAAACATACAGTTTGTGAAACTGCCTCAAAAAATAAACTCTACAGTAAGTATTAAACGGCAAACTCTGTAGGCAAGAACGATTTTTAAAAAATTAATTTTCATGTTCTAAGAAGGACCTGGTAAAATACCTGGGAAAAATTGAGGTCTTGATAATTATTACATTGAAATAAAACATGAGTATGTCATCAAAATAGTTGCTACTGAGCAAAACTGAGTGCCCTTCATATATAGATATAAGTAATATTTGTTTCCCCTAATCATTTATTATCATATGAAAATAAGTATGAATAGGCTCATAATTAATACATTGTTAATATAATTCAGTCAATGAAATGTAACCTTTATTTGTGTACTTACGGGAAGAAACTATGAAGACAGTCAAATTCAAAAAAAAATTATCAGACCATACAATTTTTAACCAGGAAGTAAATTACTCACAAATCCAGTACCAACTATGGTAAGCTACCATATACTCCTAACATTATGTATGTGATAATAATAATACATACTTATTTTATATGGATTTCATATACTATGTTCATGTAAATGAATATATAAATATAATAAATATACTATATTTAATAAATTATACAAATATTTTATATTCTTATTTCATGGGAATGTAAGGATATTTTATCATAAGCAAAGCAAAATTTACAGAGAATGGTAAGGAATTATTTTCCACCATTATTTTTTTAATGATCATGTCTACAATGACCCCTAAATGGATACATTTTTTTAGTGGTCTGGAACATAAAGTCACTATTAAAATACACTAATATGCTAGTAAAGAATGCAACACAATCAAAAATATTATCAGATATAGAAATAATTTCAGAATATAAAGGAAGAATTAAGGCAATAGTTCTCTATCACAGGTAGTACCACTTTTCTAAAAAGTATCTGAAAATGTGTTGAGGCACATTCAGTTACAATAATTGACACAGGTTAAGAACACTTAGGGTCCAGGCACCAAGATGCCAATTGTCTTGCCATATACAGGGCAGTCCTATTTAATACACAGTAGTCCTGCTCAAAATACAATTAGTACTCCTTTTGAAAAATATTGGATTATGGTATAGTTAAAGTTAATTACATCACCACAAATATCCTAGAAATTATAAAATGAAAAGTAGAGAAAGAAGGCTTGAGTAAAAGATAAAGAAAATATGTAAAGAGAAAGAAAGTATATTGGAGAAGGCATGCCTAGCAACACTGTACCCTTAGAATTGGGTAGGCTCTGTCAGATCTAAAAAAAGCCAGGGATGAAGCAACAAGTTCTTCTGCCTCCACTGACTCCCAGAGTTCCAGTTTCTTCATCTAAAGGGCCACTCTCCTGATTTCCTGACTACGCCTTCTGAATTATTTCTCCAAAGGAGACCTGATGGCAAGATTTTAGGGACTTCTCTGCTTTCCATAAAGGTTCCTCATGGGTATGCTGATGCCTAATGCCTTAAACTCATTTCACAGGAAATGAAGTTTTAGATTTTTACTACTAGCAAAAATAAAATATAAGTAGCAATGGCTGGCTGAATGTGAATTAATTTCCGTCAAGTTAATTATCTAATCAATCAATAAAAACAAATGATAGATATCAGGATTATCCCCTTATTTTAACAGAGAAAAATAAAAGAGTGCCATGAACTTAAGTGCAGGTTCCTAATTTTCTCTAGGGACTGTTCATCTTTGGCTGAGTAGAGACATATAACCTTTGCAAGAAGGTCATTTGTTACTTGTAACTAAAAATGCAGACCTTGATTAATTATGAAAGGTTTAAAAAAACCCAAGTCTATTCCCAGAGGGTATGCTAATCAATGTTCCACTGGGAATTCCCTGGCGGTCCACTGGTTAGGACTCCAGGCTCTCACTCCTGAGGGCCTGGGTTCAATCCTTGGTCAGGGAAATAAGATCCCACAAGCCACACTACCAACAACCATTAACAACAACTATTATAGATTAATAGTGGGATCTCAGCAGTTTGTTCCCCCAAAGATTTGCATGAAGTTTTGAGCACAGATTCCACTTATTTTTAACTAATACTAGATGCAACTGTGAGAGAATTTAATCAGTGTTAAATAAAATATTTGCAATAATTCAAAGGAGGTACCAAAAATATCCTTCTAACATTTTTAAAGGTAATCAATTCTAAATTAAATCACACGGACTATAGTACTCACATGCTGGTTTTGTATTAAAGTATCAAGATTGGGTTCACATGGAATACTGAAAACCACACGAATCCTGCCTTCTGTAATCACATCCCCTGAATCCTGAACCTTGGAGGGGGAAAAAAAAAATCACAGTATGTTTTAGTCTCTTTCACTACATTTTATTTACTTGTTTTTCTACTTATTTGAGTAGTGTTTATTGTTTCTGAAATACAGTAAGACAATAAAAGTAGATAGTGGAAATTTTCTTTCAATTTGTAAGTGGATGTGCTTATAAATTTGAGTCATTGTACCTTGCTTTAACCAGTTGTTAACCAGCCTTTTTTTAAAAAATTAACTTTAATTTGCAAATAATTTCAAACTACCAAAAAGTTGCAAAAATAAAACAAGTCAAAGAACATTTACCCAGATTCACCTATTATTGACATTTAACTCCATTTAACATTTGTGCTCTATGTGTGTATTTACATACACATAATTATTTTTTGAAACTTTGAGGGTATATTATATATATCATGTTCATTATCCCTAAATATTTTGGTGCATATTTCCTAAGAAGGATATTTTATTATATTACCACAGTACAGTTATTAAATACATAAATTTACGACACAATACTTTAATCCACTGCCCATACACCAGTTTTGTCAGTTGACCCAAAAGTGTCCTATATTTATAGAAAACTCTTTACTCCCTCTACTACAGGATCAGGCTAGGATCAGATATTGCATTTAGTCGTCATATCTCTTTAGCCTCTTTTAATCTAGAATATATCCAGAGCCTTTGCCTTTCACACACTGACATTTTGAAGAATATAGTTCATTCCTCCCTCTCTACTCTGACTTTTTTTTTTTTTTTTTTTTTTTGTTGTGGCCTCTCCCATTGCGGAGCATAGGCTCTGGAAGCGCAGGCCCAGCGGCCATAGCTCACGAGCCCAGCCGCTGTGCGGCATGTGGGATCCTCCCGGACCGGGGCACAAACCTGTGTCCCCTGCATCGGCAGGCGGACTCTCAACCACTGCACCACCAGGGAAGCCCCCTACCCTGACTTTTTAAAAACATTTCTACATTTGGGATTTGTCTAGTGCTTTCTCGTGATCAGGTTAATGTTATATATTCTCAGCCAGAATAGTGCACAGAGGATGTGTCCTTTGTAGAGTATCCCATCTGGAGGTACATGATGTTCATCTGTTCCTCACTATTATATTAATTTTGATCATACAATCAAGATGTTGCTCAATTTCTTTACTGTACAATTATAGTTTTTTGTTTTCCTTGCAACTAAATAAACAATCTGTGGAGAGATACTTTCTAAGACCATGAAAATATCTTGCTCCTGATCAAAAGTTCCCCTTAGAGTTAGCTTCCAATGATGATTGTTGCCTGATTCAATCTGAATCATTATGCTTGTTAAATGATGGTTTTCCAACTCCCTCATTCCCTCCACAATTATCCCTGACATGATAATATAGGCAAAAGTCTTTCCTTTCTCCATTTACTTACCTATTTATTATCACTATGGACTCATGCATTCCTATTCCCCGCCCCTGATGGTTTATAATTCAATATGTACTAGATTATTTTGGTACTTAAACAGTCCCAGATTTGGCCGGTAGGAGCCTCTTTAACCTGGTACCTGTGTTTGTGATATGCTCACATCATTCTTGTGAGTACCTCCTTGCTCTCCTGCATAACTAGTAGTTCTAGGCTCATCTTGTACTTATTCTGCCTCAGCCCTGTAATCAGCCATTTCTCTGAGAAGGCCAGGTCCTTTTTGTGGGATATGGTGTTAGACATCAAGATCAGAGTGTTACATGCTACCAGGGTATCTTTGCTTCCAATCCTTATGAGCAAATAGGGCTAGAAAATATATGTACATATAGGCATATATGCATTCATATATCTACAAACATACATAAATATACGCATATACATGTGCCTATATACATACACATACATACGTATAAAGTATTTTAGCAATCATGAGTTCACATTAATACCTCCAATTCTAATCTGTCCCCACAGGTTCTTTCTTGCATTCTCCTGTTCTATACTTACAAGTAAGTACCTTTTCCCATGTGAGAGCTGGAGTTCCCCAAAACATCAACACATTTATCAATTCATCAACCCAATAATACACTGAAAATAATTTCAGAATTGCTTCACCCATACTACAATAAATAAACCTATGAAAAAAGAGATTAGAATCTGAATTCTTTTTCCACCACCTCCTGATCTCAGCGTGCTCAACACTAAAGATATATAGCCAAATATTGTGTTGTTTATAAATTAGATGAATGAACTCTTTCTTTTTTCCCCTTCAGTATTACATTTTATTTTATGCCTAAATGAAGAGAAGTTAAACAACTGTATTAACTTGAAACCATAAAGAAATTTAATAGTAATAATAACAGGTACTAACTTCTCCAGTGCATCCATAATAGGGTGTTCCCAGCATAAAGACCATACTTCTAGGAGGAAACAAGTCATCCAATGTTTTAATATTGGAGAAACGGGAGTCAAAAGCTCGGATGTCCTATGTAGAATGAAATATAAAAGTGAATCATTACAGTCAAAATTTCTATAGACTGCATATCAAGATTTTTTCCTATGGGATTATGACTATGCTGTCTACAAATGTCAAGTGTAAAGATTTTCTACATAACAATGCCAGAATCTAAAATTTATTATCTCCTTACATGCCAGACACTCTTCTAGGTACTTTACACATTTATTAGTTCATTTCATCCTGAAGACAACCCTCTGTGGCAGAGACCATTACTAGCCCCACTTTATAGATAAGGAAACTAAAACACAGAAAGGTGATCTTGCGCAAGGTCATATGGCTAAGAAGTCAAATCAGTCAGTACTCTTAATCACTATGCTATACTGCTTCCCCCAAATTACATGATCACTACATGCATTTAAAAAAATTTGCCCCCTTAGAACATCTAAGATCACAAACACAAAAGCAAATGCTTTTTGTATTTACTAATTTATTTAAAGCAAACTTTTTGTGAGAATAATAAATAAATACAAAAGAAAAGCTTCCTAACCATACACAGAATGAGTGTCTGAGCATGTTATACTCCTTTTAAACACTACAGTATTTTGCAAATTACATTAAATAATAATATCTATTATATATTGCTGCATATAAATATGATATAGTGTTTTCTTTACACAATGTGCAACAGTGTACATTAAGATAGAATTGAGACCTGATGGAGACTTACTTGGACAATAGTTTGATAAACAAATGGAAGAACTTGTTTTGACCACTGTTTCTCTAGACGGACTTCACCATTTTGATTTACTTGATATCTACGACCTGTGAGTAACTGACCATATACAACTGCAGATGTTTCATTTATTATTATTCCTTTTCTTCTCAGGTAGCTCAAAGAAAAAATAAAAAATAAATATAGATGTGTATGAGTGTGCATATATTCTAAGATGATAATCATCATTCAAACTACCAATTCATAATCAAATGCTTAAATAAACTTTAAATAAATATGCTAGCAGTTCTGAGTACCTAACTTAAGACTTTTTGCATTATCCTGTGGCTACCTTTCCCAAAGTCTGTAAGATTAAATAAGAACTCATAGAGTTTTAAGAAACTCCTGTGTTTCATACCCACTAGGCTGGCTATAACAAAAAACTGAAAACAAGAAGTGCTGTGGGACTTCCCTTGTGGCGCAGTGGTTAAGAATCAGCCTGCCAGTGCTGGGGACATGGGTTCAAGCCCTGGCCTGGGAAGATCCCACATGCTGTGGAGCAACTAAGCCCATGTGCCACAACTACTGAGCCTGCGCTCTAGAGCCCGTGAGCCACAACTACTGAAGCCTGTGCGCCTAGAGCCCGTACTCTGCACCAAGAGAAGCCACCACAATGAGAAGCCCGTGCACTGCAACGAAGAGTGGCCTCCACTCGCCACAACTAGAGAAAGCCCACGCATAGCAACGAAGACCCAACGCAGCCAAAAAAAAAAAAAAGAAGTGTTGGAAAGGATGTGGAGAGACTGGAACACTTGTATACTGCTGATGGGAATGTAAAACAGTGCAGCCACTGCAGAAAACAGTTTCACAGTTCCTCAAAAAGTTAAACAGAGAACTGCCAAACAGCCTGGCAATTCCACTCCTAAGTATGTAACCAAAGAACTGCAAACAAGGAATCAAACAAATATTTATAGACCTATGCTCATAACAGCACTATTCACAATAGCAAAAAGGTGGAAAGAAGCCATATGTCCAACAGATGAATGCATAAACAAAAGGTGGTATATCCATACAATGAAATATTTGGCCATAAAAAGAAATAAGTATTGACATATACTACAATGTGTATGAACCCCCTAAACATGCTAAGTGAAAGAAGCCAGACACAAAAGGTCACATATTATGTGACTCTATTTATATGAAACATCCAGAATAGGTAAATCCAGAAAGACAGAAAATAGAGATTGACAGGGAGGGGCATTCAGTCTAAAGTAGGGGTTGGCAAACTATGGTAACAGGCTAAGTCCAGACTGCCTCCTATTCTTATAAATAAAAGTTACTGGAACACAGTCAATCATTTATTTAATATCTATGGCTGCTTTTGTGATATAACAACAGAGTTGAGAAGTTGTGACAAAAACTGTAAAGTCTACAAAGCCTAAAGTATTTACTATTTGGCCTTTACAGAAAAAGTGTGCTGATTCCTGATATGAAGATGCAATCATTCTTCATCTGAGGGATATTTTCTTATCTCCTTTCCATTTCCTCTTTCTAGAACTCCTATCAGATACATATCAGAAATTCTGACTATACTATTTTCATCTCTTTGTGCTTTTTGTACTACGTGCTGAAGGAATTCCTCAGCTTGATCTTTTAGCTCACTGATTCAGTTTTCAGTATGCCCATATTACTATTCAGACCATCTACTGAGCTCATTATAGAAATCATAATTTTATTTTCGTATATGTGTCTATACAAAAATATATGTATTATATAATATATACTATATATAGTTACATAGTATATAAATAACGTTATTATATATACATATATTTTATATAGCAAAATTAAAATTATGGTGAAAAAACCAGATATGTTCCCTACCCTTATGGAGCCTACTATCTATGAAAAGAGTCTTAAAGTAACCACACTCATAAATTTATTATTATGATTCTATTTATGTGCTATAAAAGAAAATTTGGAATGATGTGAGCTATGACAGGGGTATCTAACTTACACTATTGGGAGGCCAAAAATGCTCCATTTCTCCCCCTGACAGCTGTGTTCATCTCCTTTTATGCTGGATAGCTTTTCATGGTCTTTTTACATATTTCCTGTTTAATCATCTTTGAATAAGGATATTATGGCCTGGTATTAGCTCCTATAATTGTAGAAGAGGTATCTCCTTGAGTTCCCATTTATCAATGGATGCTACTACAGTATAAACAGGAGGGCTGATGGGTATACATTTATAACACCATTTCATGTGCCACTGCCAGTTTCTATTATTCTGTTTTGCTTTAGGGAATTCTAGTGTTTGGATGAAAAAGGAGAGGTACCGTTAGGGTGGGATCATGGGACACAAGGCACCCTGAAAATTAGCATTCCAAGGAGGGTTAGCTTCTTCTTTACTTAGTTGGTATAGACCTTGCCTTTCTGAATTCAGAGCATAAGGGACTTGGGTGTAGGGAGGAGGGGAGTAGGGAGGAGGGAAGGGTGAAGAACAAAGGAGAGTATGCCCTCCTATTTTTATTAGTTACATGTGGCCAAGAAATTCAGTGGCCTTATGGTTAGCGAAATTAACTCTCAAATTCAGGCAACTTATGAACTGTGTATTCCTAGTATAAGTGATTATGTCTTTTCTTTCTTTTTTTTTGTACATCATGAAATATTTCAGTGACAAACTGGGCAAGGCTCTAACCGCTGCTAACCAGATTTTATTTTAAATTAGAACTCATTACTTTTTTAGACCATAAAATGAAGATGCAGTCAGTATTCAGAGTAATCACACCAAGTAGAAAATAAGTTAAAAAATAAGTACATCAGACCACCACATTCTAGTTCAGTGACATTAAATACTATTTATGACACTCACTATTCTGAAATTCCTTGTACTTCTTTTGTCCAGTTAGATTGTTCTTTGTCTCCAAGATGGACCACTTTAGAGGGTGGTGCAGTTCTTCCCAAATAAAGTTTCTGTGTTCCTGCAGGTTCTTCCAAGTAAAACCTTAAAAATTAAAATGATATTACCCGCAAATTTGTGGTTTAATATAGAGTTCTAGTAGTGTGAGTCTTCAAAGTGAAAAGATTTCTACATGGTATAACGGCAAAAAAACCAAAAAACAAAAAGCCTCCTTTTTAAAAACTGTAATATGAATTTCAGAACAAACACTTGTAAAAAATTTTAATCAAAATTTAAAACAAATTACTATTCTTTCTCTATAAGAAATTAAACTAAATACATAATAAAAATATAAAATTTTAAAGAATTAATACTCTCAAATTCAATAAAGTAGTTTTGCTAAAATAGTTTAACTTGATTCTAATCAAGCCACTATACCTAACTCCCAGTTTACAGGAAACATGTCGGATGGAGGACCAACTTAAATGACACTAAGAGGAAACAACTAGGTAAATTCAGAATTCTAAAAAATAACTGGCTTGGACTTTAAGAAAAAAGGCAGGGAAGTAAGTTTAGCCAGGTCCTAGGATATAAAATCAACATACAGAAATCAATTATATTTCTATATACTAGCTGGGGAAACTGAAATTGAAAACATAATACTATCCATACTTGCTCCAAAAAATTTTAAATACTTAGGTAGGTACAAATCTAACAAAACATATACAGGTTCAGTATGCTGAGGAAACAAAATAGTGATAAAAAATCAAAGATTAAAATAAATGGAGAGATAAATGGATCTTCATTTATCCATTTGGATCAGAAGACTCAACACAGTAAAGATGTCAAATCTCCACAAATTATAAGTTTAGTACAATTCCTATCAAAATTTCTCAAAGATTTTTATAAATATAAAAAAATTTATTCTAAACTATATATAGAAAGGCAAAGGACCAAAAATAGTTAAAACAATTTTGAAAAAAAAAAAAAGTAAGGAATCGCTCTACCTAAGGTTAAGACTTACTACATAGCTACAGTAACAAGACAATGTGGTGTGGGCATAAAAAATAGACATAGAGACAAATGTAACAAAACAGAGAACCCACAAGTAGACCCATACAAATATGCTCAACTTATTTTTGACGTAGGTGTAAAAGCAAACTAATGGAGGAAGGAGAGTTTTTCAACAAATAGTACTGGAGTTAATTTGATATTCATAGGTAAACATATGAAACTTGACCCAAACCTCATACCTTATATAAAAATTAATTCAAAATGGATCATGGATTTAAATATAAAAGGAGAAGGTAAAACGATAAAACTTTTTGGAGAAAATCTTCTTTGGGACCTAGGGCTAGGTCAAGAGTTCTTAGACCAAAAGCACGATCCATAAAACTAAAAACTGATAACTGGACTTCATCAAAAAGGCAGGGGAACTGAATTTTGATGATTAAAAAAGAATGTTCAATACCAGTTCATACTGGTACTGACTTCTCATCAACAAAATTACGCAACAAAACACAACTGAGATACGTTTGCAGAGACCTAAGGAAAAAGGATTAGGCCTCTAACTCTAAACCTATGCATGAGAAAAACAACAAAAAAAACCTTTTGGATATGTAATAACTCAGAAAACATTAACATCCTCACATTTTCTCTGAAAAATTACTTTAGAAAGTTCTAGACATGAAAAATAACAAAAGAACAAGATATCAGACCAAGTAAAAGATGACAAAGAATAGCCTGTCTAAATAATCACTGATAAAATGATTGTGAACTTGAATAAAATGTTAAATTATTTTTAGAATAGAAGATATGTGTTTTTTAATATATTATGTAAATGAAACCTGGGAAAGGCATGGAAAAGGTAAGGCTACATATGCTATTTATTCTTGTCAGAAAGAAATATATTTGCTAATTTATATAATGATAAAAGAAAAGAAAAGAATTAGGATATAGAACTTCCAAGCTATTGAAAGGAAAAGAAGGCAAAAGGGAAAAAATAATATATGCATCTAAAATATGCATCTCAACATTATAAAGCAACTATACTCCAACAAAATTTAATTTAAAAAATAAAATAAAATACTAATAAAAAATATGCATCTCAAGGTATGTTGTCAATAGTGGTTGAACCTGGAGTGTGGTATGATTAGAGGACTTTCATTTTCACTATAGAGTGTAAATATTTTACAAATATTATATCAGTTAAAATGTATGAATAAAAGCCAACAAATAGCAAAGCACATATAAACTTTAAAAATTATAAATAAAATCTTACTTAGTTTCTCCATCTGATACACCAACAACTCTAGCTTCTTCAAGATGAGGCCAATTGACAAAGAGAGACTTCCCAAGCACTGATGAAGCTATATTTTCTACACTCTTAAAGTAAAAGCAGAAAAGTTCATTCATGTTATAGGTCCAAGAGAGAATTTTACAGAGACAAAATTAAATAATTAAAACTGGCTTGTGTTTATAACAGTGTATTTAAAATCTATAAAAACCATGCCTTAATAATTAAAACAGATATAAAATATTATTTGATGGCTCAGGCCAATTACTCCCTATTAGTAACTGCTCTTCTCAGCTTTATTCCCACTTAATTATTCCATCCACTTGAATTCAGTTTTTAAAATGTCTCTTCTCTAAGTTGTGCCTTTATTGCCAACTACTCTCTGTCTTTCTAGTACATTTTCCAGGATTTCTGTTCTTTTAGTTTTTTCCCTTTCCTTTATTTATTTATTTTTATTTAAAAACTTTTTTTGGCCACGCCACACGGCATGCAGGATCTTAGTTCCCTGACCAGGGACTGAACCCTAGCCCCCTGCAGTGGAAGCATGGAGTCTTAACCAGTGGACCACCAGGGAAGTCCTCCTTCTTAAAAAAAAAAAAATTTTTTTTCAGTTGTTTTTACTTATCTGCCTTTCTTTATTCTTTAATTTATTATGAATCTGTGTAAGTTTACCAACTTCACCTTCCCCTCTGCCAATCTCTTCTTATTAGAAGGGAACTATGACCAACTTAAAAGTAATTTTCTGCAGTATAAACATCTCAGCACTAGGAAGCTTGCCTCCTCATTTTTTCAACAGCACTGGCAGTTATTAGTGAAGGATGGCCCACTGATTTTAATCCTAAATGAAATTACTTGGCGAGAAAACAGGTTTCAGTAAAATCAAACAGAAGAACACTGACCTATAATGTGAGTATTACTGTTCACAATAATAGCCAACATTAGTAGAAATAATGTCCAGCAAGAAACCTAGGTTCTTAGTTCTGCTGCTAACTAGCTGAGTGAATGTCCCTTTTCCAATATTCATTTAAGTTTTTTAATTTGTAAAATTAATGAGCTGGATTAGTTGCTTCACAAAATTCCAACCAGTTGTAAAATTCTATGATGCTATTATTCTCATGATTATCAGCTTATTTTTCTCATGGAAACTGAGAAAAGTGAAAAGAACAGCATAGATGTCTAGAAAAGGGCTATTATTATTTCATATCAAATAATCAGATAGCATAAAACAGAATCTAAAATATGTAATTCATTTCAGTTTGTGGTTGGTATAATTAAATAAGAACACTAGACTTATTTCAAGTTAGAAACTATGGGTCCAAAATTGGGTTCTGCCTCTCTTCAGCTATGGACTCTTAGGCAAATCCTTTAATCCCACTGAGTCTCAGTTTTCTTTTATAAGAAGTTATAACATCTACCTCACAATATTTATTTAAGGATAAAATAATATACACAAAAGCTTTTTTAAACTATAAAATGCTGCACAGTTGGCCCTCTGTATCCATGGGTTCCACATCTGCAGATTCAACCAACTACTGATGGAGAATATTTAAAAAAAAACAAAAAGAAAAAACTCCAGAAAGTTTCAACAAATGCTGGCAACTATTTACATAACATTTACATTGTATTTACAATTATTTATATTGTATTAAGTATTATAAGTGAAAGAGATGATCTAAAGTATAAGGCAGGATGTGTGTAGGTCATATGCAAATATTACACCATTTTATATAAGAGACTTGAGCATCCACAGATTTTGGTATCAGTGGGGAGTCCTGGAACCAATGCCCCATGGATACTGAGGGACAACTATAAATATTCTGTATGAAATAATACCTTAAGTAAAAATTCTTAAAAGGAAACATTACTATTACTGTTGGTTAGACAATAACTTTGTGGTAGAAACTGAAGTTGAAATATAAATTTTGATTCACATTTTTTCTTTTCATTATGCTTAATCATTATTAGCAAATACTTCTTTAACAAATAGAGATGACTATTTTTAGACTTTTGGGGGTAACTTTTTATTTTATTTACTATATTTAGACATCTCTTACAGTGAACATACAAAAGAATGACTATTCTGATAAATAAAACAAGTTTCAACATTAGAACTGGCTCCCTTAATTATCCTTTTCCCTTCTTTCCTAGATTAATCCTTTCCCATAAGCCCTAGAGGCAATCCACTTCACACCCTTTCCCTCTACAGTGCCTTTAAGAGCTCCTTTCTTCTTTAGCTCTACCTCTCTTCTTTTGTATGGATTTGCTAAATGAGCTGCCTCTTCTTTACCTACAGTTATGTTTCTAGCCCTCTTTTCAATGATAAACTTCTTAACCAAGGGCTTAAGACTTGCTATCTCGACTTCCCACCTAACGAGTCCCGGATTAGTACTTAGGAATTGGACTTCTGCCTCCAACAACCTATGGGAATGGAATTCTCAAAGTCCAGTAATGATGCCCAAAGGACAAACTCACAGACCTTATTTTAGTTTTCACTCTTCTTGAACTGTATGTACCATCTACTCCATGCTTCTGTGACACTACTAAACATGGGAATTATTCTCTTTCTTCTCTGAACACTATGTAACTTTTACTGGTTCCTTTTCCACCCTTTCCACCCATGGGTACTTCCTCATGCTGGAGCCTTGAACCTTGAGAATCCCCTTTCTTCAAGGAAATGAGCCCCGAGGCCCTAGCCATCACTTCCTTGCTAAGGCCCTACATATCCCTATTGCCTTACAAGCTCTAGCTCCAGGTATTCAACTGTGTATAAGTTGCCTTTCTTTTTTAATTAATTAATTAATTAACTAATTAATTAATTTATTTATTTCAGTACGCGGGCCTCTCACTTTTGTGGCCTCTCCCGTTGCGGAGCACAGGCTCCGGATGCGCAGGCTCAGCGGCCATGGCTCACGGGCCCAGCCGCTCCGCGGCATGTGGGATCTTCCCGGACCGGGGCACGAACCCGCGTCCCCTGCATCGGCAGGCGGACTCTCAACCACTGCGCCACCAGGGAAGCCCATAAGTTGCCTTTCTTGACTGAAGTTTTTCATCTGAACCACAGAACACAAAAAACAATTTGACTACGTATTTCCCCAATTCTTCCAAGGATGGTAGATAACTAGTACCATTCTAAATGCACAAAAGGTAAATTAATCTATTATAAACGAATGGATGACTTAGGGCAAGAGGGCTTAAACCTCTTGTGGAACCCTGTTGAGAAAGGCTGAAAGGGCAACTCCAGTTAAATGTCCTAGCACCAACTTAAAATTCTATTACTGATAATTAATCCCCTCAAGCCAGTGCCTCTTCCATTTTAACTTCTTTATTCCAATAAACAGTAATTGTTTTTCAGTTAATTAGTCTGATATCTTAGAGTGATTCATATTTAATATTTTTTCTTTTCATCCCCTATTTCTGAACAAATGATGAAACTTGTGAATTTTATTTAGTCCTGTTCATCTAGATCTATTACCACTTCCACAGTTTATGCCCTTATTTTCTAAGGCTTCTATAACCACAACCTCAACTTGCAGGCTTTTCCATTTTCTTCCATGTTTTTGGTATGCACTTTAGTCTACTATATTGCCACCAAATTAATCTTTATGAAAATACCAATTTCAAGATAACAGTCATGAAAAATAAGTCCAAACTCCTTAGCCTGGTATTCAAGGTCCTCCATAATCTGGCCTCAATCTGTTTTTTCAACCTTATTGTCTACTATTTCCCAATACAAGTCCTCTGATTCAGTCAGGTTTATCTATTCCTTCTCCTCAAATACATCACATTTACTCTAAAAAAAGAAAAAGTATTAAAAAAAAAATTCAGACATACAAAAAGGTTAAAAAAAATAAGATAATGTATCACATTTATTTTTTACTATAACTCCCAGCTCATGTTCTTCTTTCAACTGGAATACCTTTCCCCTCCTTTTTCCTCTTTATGATAATCTTTCTTTTAGCACCCAGCTCAAGCCCATTTTCATCTACAGTTCTGTACTTAACCTTTAGCTCACATAGCTCATCTCCTCTTCAAATTCCTACAGCATTTTTTTTGCTCATTATGTCACAATTATATATATCCTTTAATTTGTGTAAATGTTTCTTTATCCTTATTTCCTGTGAAATTCTGGAGTTACTACATGTTATACCACTTTGGAAAACACGTTGCAGCTAAAACAGTTTTATGCATAATAAGCACGTAAGAAATATATAATGAAGAAAATACTTACAAGTTCATCTGATTCTGCATTCACTAATATTTCCAACATCATGTTTTCTCCACGACTGCTTTGCTGGAATACTTGAACCCCACTTTTCTTCAAAAAAAACTTTAAAAGAAGTCATAGATTTTAATTTTTTCTCCATAATCACTTCACATTCAATAAAGTGAAAAAATTTTATGAAAATAAATAGCCACTGACTTTGTGTTTGATGTGTTTCAAAGTAGGAAATCCACAGAAATATAATGCCTTTTGGTCAACCCTGGTTATTTTGTTTTTGCTTATGTCTACACGCCAAGCATCTAATGATATTATTCTATACCTAGAAAATAAATGGAGACATTTAATTTAAAATTCATACATTACAAGCAATCACAGGTTTTCAGCATTCCCTTCAGTATTTTGCCAGAGTCCTCCTTGCTTTTAACAGGAGAATTAAAAATTCGTCCTTTAAGAGAAAGAAAATACAGAGCAGCAGATTCTTCATTGGTATTGATCCAGACACAACCATGCCTGTAAGATACTGAGTGGACGTTCTCCCCATTAATTTAAAAAATATATATAATATATAAAAATATATAATATATATAAATTATATATGTATATATACATGATTTTTATACTAAGGGAACATACAAAACATACTACAAATCTCTATATCCTCCATGTTCCAAAACCCAGAATGGAAAATAAACGTTTTATAATGTCTATAAATACCTTTCTCTTAGCTTTAACAAAAGGAAAAATCATAACTGAGAAACATTTACTTCATCTGCAACACAACTGCCATCTAGATATTATTTGCAGAGATGAGAGAAGAGAAAAAACAAGGAAGACATCTTAATGAGGAAGAGAAAGTAGAAATAGGTTTGAGGCAAGAAACAGAGGAGCTCTTTTTTTTTTTTTTTTTTTTTTTGCGGTACGCGGGCCTCTCCCGTTGCGGAGCACAGGCTCCGGATGCGCAGGCTCAGCGGCCATGGCTCACAGGCCCAGCCGCTCCGCGGCATGTGGGATCTTCCCAGACTGGGGCACGAACCCGTGTTCCCTGAATCGGCAGGTGGACTCTCAACCACGGCGCCACCAGGGAAGCCCCCAGAGGAGCTCTTTTATTTCTTGTTTTCCTTCTTTCCAGTTGGGTGGTTGGGGAATATAAGAGGCAAAGTCATAGCATGTCAAATAATGCTGGGAGCAGACACTGGCAATGGAAACAAAAATTCATACATCCTCTTGAGGGAGAGAACAGATATATACGGGGGTGGACAACTTTAACAGAAGACGAAAACAGAGAAGCAGAATTGGACCAAAGCAGAGAACTATAGAAACAACTGTGAGAGAGAGAGAGAAAGAGAGAGATGCTATGATCCTTGGCAAGTTGCATGTAATTAATTCATTATCAATTGACTACAACTGTCATAAATTATTTGTTAATTCTCCAAGTAGATATTCAAAAGCTTGCTTTTTTTTTTTTTTGAGCTCTCTGTTGTTGAAAAATTACCAAACAACATTACCTTGCGCAGCATCGTCCTATGGCAGGGAACTTTTCTGGCCACGGAGAGGGGTACATGAACTCTGTCTCGCTATCATACCAGCACATCAGGCACTCACTATGTTGGTTTCTTTTCCTCTCTTCTTTTTTCAGGGAGTGGTTGCATGTCTCCATGGCTTCCAACAATCGCTTCTGAATATAAAGATTGGAGAGAGGGGTTAAAAATACAGAAATTCTGTAATCTCAACCTACAGAATAAATATTTTCCCTCGGAATACAGAATTACTATTTGTGTTCTTGAAAAACAAAAATCTTAACTAATACAATTCTTTTCCATTTCATTACATGAAAAACTGATGTGCTATTCTTGTTTCAAAGGGCCCTAGAATATTGCTTGTCACTACAAATTCCTCTGAAACTATTACTCCAACAGCAATCACTAACGTGTGGATAAAATCAGCAGAAAATCAAAATTTAAATATGAATTGATCGCAATTATAATTTATCTTAATTCACTGCTCATTGATCTCTTACTTTACAAATTGTACAATGGTATAGGTATGTTCATCTTTCCAATTATCTTTTGTATTTAACATAATTCCAATCAAATCACAATGGTTTAAAATATTTCTTTTTAAAGGACAAAATGATGTTAGTGTTCATATTGGAAGGATGAATGTGTAAGCTGCAAAAAGTTACCAGGAACTTGTCTTACCAGATCCTATCACTTTTTATAAAACTACCTGTAAGCAAAACACTTAAGTATTGACACCACAAGAGACCCACAGACCAGAAGAACAAAACAGAGTTCAAAAACAAATCCAAATGTACGTCAAACATGGTATTTCAGATATTTAAATAGTGCTTTTGTCATAACTAGCTATCCAGCTAGGAGAGAAAGCACATATACTTTCCAATATCATACCATATACAAAAGCAAGTATCAGAGTAATGAGACAACAAAAATAATGGGAAAAAATCTAGGAGACTATTGATAATTTGGAGTAAAAAACTCTTAAATAAGGCAGGAAAAAGCTGAGCAGCTTTAAGGAAAAAGACATTTTTCAAGGAAAAGAAAATGTATGTGATAAAAGATGTCACAAAAAAATCAACAGGCAAATGCCACACTGGGGAAAAATATTCCTAATATAAAAAGAGTTGTTCAAAATCAAAAAAAGAAAATGAGGAAAAGGATATAGACAGACAATTTACAAAAGAGAAAATGAAAAAGACAAACATACATAAAAATATACTTAAATTAGGAATCAGGGAAAAATAAATTTGAATGAATGGCATTCTTTATCATCAGTAGACTTTATCATCAAAATTAAATAAAGCAATAATATTCAGGACTAGAAAAGCAGAGAAGTAGGCACTTAAATATTGCTGGTGTAAATTAGACCAGTCTTCTTGAAAAAGAAGACTGGTAATATTCATTAAAACAAAAAATACACATTCCCATTAACCAA